TTGAATTAAATTTGTTTTAAACAAATTATAAGATTGAATTAAATTATTTGTTTCATTTCTTTTTATTTCTTTTATTTAACTATTGAAATAAAAAACTGCTGATTTCCTTTCCTTTATTTACCTCTGTCTTCATAAGAATGCTAACAAAATCAAAAGGAGTTACACTAAAATTTAGAAAAAAAGACTCTGATTGTCGTCTCATCTTAAATATGAAAATGATATGGGTTAAAATTTTTGGAGGGTTTGGTCCAGTCATGAAAATTAGACCATGTAAAGAATCATTAAAAATAAGACTCTGATTTTATCACCTCATTGATAGTTTTTCACTAAGAAATGAAGTGAATCCTTTAATAAAATATACTTGAGTGGATTAAGTTCAATGCTAAAGATAAAGATATCAACTTGTATGTGCATCAGTTTCTCCCTTGTTCATTATGTCTAATGTAGTAAGTGAAGTCTTGACTAAATTGTTTTAATGCATGGATTAAGTGAGAACAATGCTCAAAATAAAGATATCATCTTGCATGGCTTTCAGTTTCACTCGTGTTTATATGGCTGAGGTTTATATATTATCCCAATATTAATGATTTGCCATAAAAAAAAAAAATGCAAGACTCTAAATTATCTGTATTCAGTTGTATGCAGTTCAACCCAGGCTTTAATAGTTGAACTGCATACAACTGAATACAGATAATTTCGAGTCTTGCATTTTTTTTTATGGCAAATCACTAATATTGGGATAATATATAAACCTCAGCCATATAAACAGGAGTGAAACTGAAAGCCATGCAAGATGATATCTTTATTTTGAGCATTGTTCTCACTTAATCCATGCATTAAAACAATTTAGTCAAGACTTCACTTACTACATTAGACATAATGAACAAGGGAGAAACTGATGCACATACAAGTTGATATCTTTATCTTTAGCATTGAACTTAATCCACTCAAGTATATTTTATTAAAGGATTCACTTCATTTCTTAGTGAAAAACTATCAATGAGGTGATAAAATCAGAGTCTTATTTTTAATGATTCTTTACATGGTCTTATTTTCATGACTGGACCAAACCCTCCAAAAATTTTAACCCATATCATTTTCATATTTAAGATGAGACGACAATCAGAGTCTTTTTTTCTAAATTTTAGTGTAACTCCTTTTGATTTTGTTAGCATTCTTATGAAGACAGAGGTAAATAAAGGAAAGGAAATCAGCAGTTTTTTATTTCAATAGTTAAATAAAAGAAATAAAAAGAAATGAAACAAATAATTTAATTCAATCTTATAATTTGTTTAAAACAAATTTAATTCAATTTTATAATTTTTTTAACTCTAAAATTCAGGTTTCCTGGACAAAAGGGTTCAACCCCCCTCCCCTCTCCCTTGGGTGTTGGGTGAGGCTAACTTTACACCATCCTTTTTTCATAAAGATTATTTACACATCATACCCACTTTCTGCATGAAATGTCATGAGTTATAAAGAAAAGGGGTTCTTCAAATGTTCCCCAATTTAGTGTGGATATATAGTTTTAAAAATTATTACTTCTTGGAACTTTATGGGTCTTTTGTCTTTAGCATCCTTTATAACAGAAATTCTTCAAAATTGCATGAGGAATTTCATGCATTTAACTTATGATAAGAGCCTTCCTTAGGTTAACAAGTGTATGGTTGATAGCAAATGCTTAATCGATATATTGATTTTTATGGATATTCAAGAGTGTATGATATTGAAACTTTAAATATGTATAGGTCAGGCAATTTGGAAATTTTGATCATCACAAATTATATTTGACTGTATTAAAACCAGTAATTTTAGATAATCATTAAGAAAATTACACAAACACTGTATTTCAACACTTTGGTTTTACAAATATGAAAAGTTTGAATAACTAAGGATCAATCGTAATGACATAAAAGACAAGACTTACAAAATAAATATTAAAATACTCAGTCCTCAAGATTGAAAGTTTTTAAAGATTGAAAGCCTGAGAGTCTGAAAGCCTAAAAGTCTGAAAGTCTGAATCTCAAGATTTAATATACATATTGTGTTTTGAAGGATTGAAAGTCAGTATATGATTTGCTTGTAAAACTCTCTAAAATGAAGGAGCACATTCAGTGACATATTATAGAAAGAGTCTGAGATTTTATACCTAATTCCTTACAAATAAAGAATATCACTATGAGATCCTTATAATGAAGTTTTACTGTAGCAGGAATACGTTGACCTTTAACCTGAAAAGTCAATAGAGGTGTTAAGATATTTATGGAAAACAATGGTATAGCAAAAATTGTGCTGATCTTTAACCTGAAAATCAAAATATATGAAGTTTGTTTAATTAACCTATTCATGAAGTTTGATGAATATTAACTAAACAATTAAATTTAGCAGATGTCCACATCTCTTTGACCTTTTGACTAAAACCTTAATAAGGTCATTTATTTACCTTTGTTTGACTTTGATGAGTAACTTATATGTTGGATATATTTATTTTAATGCAATAAGTATTTTGATACCCCGGTTACCCATCAACTGGTTAATTTCTTTCCATAATCCTTTCAAAGCTAGAACACCTTATCTTATCCTCCTTCAATGAGTAAAAAGTCTGTAAAACAGTTTGTCGTGTGTTGCCACCTTTGTGACGTTTAATAATTTGTTTGAAATTCTCAAATGTATTATTAATAATGACATATAATTTTTAGCAGACACAAGATATCAAGATGAGAAATAAAACCAATTTTGTAAAGGGAGATAATCCAAATTTACAGTAATTACCACTTAGATTTAACAGAAAAATCATGAAAATGGGTCTGAAAACGCTAAAACATAAATTTAAACAACAAAGCAATGGCGGAGGCGGGGCGGCAGGAGGTAAATAACAAACTTTGAAACAACGTCCGTCCTCCAAGGATGTAGATGGGAGAAAAGGCAGAGTAACGCACCGCATGGTCAGAATTTCATTTGTTAGATTTTAATTGGTCAGATTTTGATTGGTCAATCTCTGCCTCTCCTACCACGGTAAGACATGGAACAAAATTAACATTACAAAGCACAGCTATACAGTATTTCAGACTTTCACATTCAAGGAGGACACTTATTGATTACAATAAAAATTTTTAAGTAAACTTAAATTTATTTATTTTAATGCAATAAGTATTTTGATACCCCGGTTACCCATCAACTGGTTAATTTCTTTCCATAATCCTTTCAAAGCTAGAACACCTTATCTTATCCTCCTTCAATGAGTAAAAAGTCTGTAAAACAGTTTGTCGTGTGTTGCCACCTTTGTGACGTTTAATAATTTGTTTGAAATTCTCAAATGTATTATTAATAATGACATATAATTTTTAGCAGACACAAGATATCAAGATGAGAAATAAAACCAATTTTGTAAAGGGAGATAATCCAAATTTACAGTAATTACCACTTAGATTTAACAGAAAAATCATGAAAATGGGTCTGAAAACGCCACTGACTTGACCGAATTAGGGAAAGTTCAGACCCATAAAGGAAAAATAAATGGCAACACACCTCAAACATAAATCATACCAAAAGTGAGTAAAATTTACAAACATGGGAATAAACATATGTCCCGTAATGCAATAAAACAAAAATTTGAATTCACAAGTGTCTTATGAGGGATAAACATATGCCCCCATCACAACCAAATGAGTTTACTCTTCCTAGTGTATTATGTCTGTGGGTCCCAAGTATTAACGAATCACTATGTAGAATGTCTGATAAGGGATAAACATATTCACTTATAGTCGCAAATCATCATCTTATTCGCTGTTTTTTACTAAGTTCACATGTATGTGGTATTCATTTAAGGACTGTCTCGAGCAATGTTTTAGATGAGGGATAGACATATGCCCCCATATTGGAAAATATTTCACACTGTAAGCTTCCGCACCATTTTAAATGTTTATATGCACGCGATCTTGTCACCTACCAGCCTAAGTATTAACAAATGACTTAGGCACTATTGTTCTGGATGAGGGATAAACATATGCCCCCATACGTTAATACTCTTGAAAATCACTTCAAAGTCGAGATCCTACACAAATAACAAAACAAATCTGCTCCGAGGATCCACTTCCACTCAAGCATATATCAACATGGTGTCACATGTCTTATGTAATATTTAAATGCATCCGACTTCCATCTACCCAGGAATCTAATCTGACTATCGCTCATCCCTCGTGATGCACAGTAAGAGGCCATTCCGATTCGAAAGGAATGTCCTTTGAATCTATTGACATCCAAATTACAAAACATGAGGCTTTGCTTTAATATGTTTGAAAATTCTTGCCTTGTAACTGCAGTGTTTTGGGGGTAGCAAAAAAGGGGCCCATCGGTCCTCCCTCTCATCTTAATGTAGTGTTCTAATGCCCCCACTGGACAATATTTTAAAGAGTTGCAAGAATTAATTGTAAGAGTAAAAACTTTACCATCAGAATGTTTATAATTTTGAAAGTGAATCAAAACTTTACTTTTTTGAAAAGTAATCTGTGAAACTTGTAAAACCTTATTAGCAGTGCCAACTGATGTTATCTCTCCTATTCTGAGGAAGCCGTGAAAAGCCAATAAAAACATTGTTTGAAATAATGCCCTTTTATATATGTTCGATATTGTATGTTCTAAAGCATCACAAATTTTATGCAGAACTACTATGGTTATTGGTAAACGAATATCCATTGAAGGTCTTGATTTGCGACAGGAACTTAATAGTTTCTGAATGAGAAAGCATGATGTATTGTCAGGCAAATTATTAATTTTATGTATATATGCTATTGATGAAATAAATGACACGATAGAGGAGGCTGCATAACCTTCAGCAAATAAATAAGAGATAAACAAAGCCAAAGTTTCCTGAGACAACGGAAGATCATTACTCATATCAAATTTGTTTGCAAAATTTCTATAAATAGACCATGCCCGTTTATATGCTTGAGTGGAAGCTGGTGCCAATGTTGAAGTCAACAGGTTCCTCAAGACTGGTTCTAAGGAGGTAATGTTGGCAGATTGGGAATCACCGTTGGTTCTTTGTCCATCCAAGGAGCAAGTTGATGGAACTGCTGCACCTTCAAACGAGACAAGCAATCACATAGAATATTTTCCTTGGTACCCAGATGCCTAGCTTTAAACAAAATGTTAGACTGCAAACAAATTAGCACTAACTCTCTAACCAAATACATTATACTTTTATCCTTAGACGATTGCTTGTTAATGATATGCACAAGGGCATAATTGTCTGTGTAAAAGTAAATGCATTTGTTTTTAAAAATATGACTCCAAACTTTAAGAGCTAACACTATTGGGTAAAATTCCAAGAGAGTAATATTACATTTTTTCCAATTATCATTCCAAGTCCCATAGAACCAGTGCCCACCTAACACTGCCCCGTATCCTATAGATCCTGAAGCGTCTGTATACAGTTTTAATTCATTGGAATCAACCCACCTATCTGGTAAGAAAACCGACCTACCATTAAATTTTTCCAAGAAGGCTAACCAAGTACATAAATCTGCTTTTACTTCTTTGTTTAGTCTAATGCGATAATATGCTTTTGTAATGCCAATAGTAGTGTTGATAAGTCGCCTTAAGAACGCTCTACCTGGCAAGACTACATTACACGCAAAATTAAGAAGACCAATCACTGACTGCATGTCCTTCAAAGTAATCTTTCTGCTTGGTAAAAGCTGTTCAATTGTATCTCTACATTTTTTAACTTTATCAATAGGTAACCTTGCCTCCATCATCTCGGTGTCTAATTCATATCCCAGAAAAGTCATTACCTTGTTAGGACCAAATGTCTTATCCTTAGCCATAGGTACACCTATGTCGGCGCAAACTGTTAAAAATGCCACAAGTTTTTTGTGGCACTCTGTCGCAGATTTGTCAACAATTAGAAAATCATCTAATACATGAGTCATAAATTTAATTCCTAATTTTTCTTGTGCAATCCACTGAAGTGCTGTACTAAACCTTTCAAATATACGACAGGAAGAACTGCAACCCATCTGAAGACATGTGTCAAAATACCAATGACCTTGCCAAGTGAAACCAAAGTATTCAAACTGTGATGCATGTAAGTTGATAATTCGAAATGCATTAGAAATATCTGTTTTGCAACAATATGATCCTTTCCCACACTGCTTAATGTTTTGAATAGCATCCTCTACAGAAGAGTATTGAACAAATGACTCTTCCTCGGGTATGCCATCATTGACAGACTCACCTTCCGGATATGACAAATGATGGATCATACGGTACTCACCCTCTGTTTTCTTACTAACTAGACCTAAAGGGGAACAATTTAAAATTGGCAGTGGTTTCTCTTTGAAAGGACCCATAATTCTACCCAAATTTATCTCCTTTTCTAACTTTTTGCTAATAACTTCTGGTAAGTCCAGTGCCGATTTTAAATTTTTTGAAAGAGTATTTCTACTTTCCCCTGTGTAACCAATGTGGAACCCATATCGAAAACCATTAACTAAAAATTCTGTTTCTACCTTGTCATACCCCACCAACCAGTACTCTAATCTACTGGGATTTACTGGAGTTGGACCCTTTTGTGGGATAGGTTGGCTTTGAGAATTTAGCATTACCTGTGTTGGTTGATGTGCCATTTCCTTGAAATGGTTTTTGGGTTCTGGATTTGTCCAAGAAACGAAATGGCCGTTGAATTGGTTTTTTACATATGTAGATTGGATGGAAGCCACCACAGTTATAACATCTGTGCTGGAATTTGCATGATGAACCAAGCCTACAATACCTTCCAGCTTTGTGATAGGCAAAGCATGACCCCTGAGGGACTTCCTCATACGTACCAAATGACGAACGGTCTGGTGTTATTTTGCTTGACTTCTTTTCTGATTGTTTGAGGCGAGCATTAACATATATCTCCATATGGACATCACCCCATTCTACCTCACCTTGTTCTATGAGTTCCCTGAACTCCTTATCATATTTTCTCCAGTCCCCCTTTTCCTCTGCAATTTGCCTTACTGATTCCATGTGTTTTGCAAGCTTTGGCTGTGCAAGTGTATCTTTAATGCAATATATTGTCACATACCTATTCCACGCAGTTACCCAGTCATGCAGGGATAACGAACCATCCCTAACTTCGTCGTCATCTGTGGATCGCATATTGTGGATTACCACCTTACCTGTCTGATCCTGTTCCTCTACCTTGATAGAATACTTACTTTTCCCCTTTTCCTTTTTTAACAACAGAGCCATATCAACATATTGTTTTGACCAAATTTTAGATTTTATTTTGTCAGAAACAGTTGCCTCATATCGGTACTGATATCGGTACTGATGAGCTTACAAAACCTGATTTCTTACCCACATTTGCTGCAGGTGGAAGTTCAGTACCTACAATCTGTGAACTGTGTTCGATTACAGCGCCTGATACCAATCCTGAGATACTTGCATCCACTGACTTATTTGTTATTTGACAAACTGACCCAGAAGGACCTGCTGTTAAGCTATTGCTTGATGTAGTGGAAGCATTATTTCCCCTTTCTCCCCCATATTATGAACAGAGATACTCCCCTGATGTTGCAGTAATGGTTTTATCTCTGCTAACACCTTCTCCGTGACTGCCTTTGTTATGGTTTGGGTTAATGCAGCCAAGGTTTCAGGAGGAACATCAAGGGGTTGAGTGCTTGTATCGACAGCCACAGCATCATTGGTAGTGGACTCTCCAGTTCCGTTCTGTGCACGACGTGGTCTTTTCACCTGACTTGTTTTGGACTGTTGGGCTTTATTCCTTTTGCCTGGCATAATGCTGGTAAATATATACCTATATAAATTTAAAATTAAGGAAGAAGTATGTATCCAATATATTATGTTATGTATAAATATAAACTGTAAAAGGCTTCGGCCTTAATTGACAATGAACAAGAATTGTAAGACCTCACTGTAGCCAGTGTAGGTGCCCTAACTGTAACTGTAAGAGTCAGTTAGCCTACATGACAACGTATTTGAGCATAATGATATTTAACATTACATTATATAACCACTTTCATCGCTCAGTACAATGTGTAAATCTAATACAACAAACTAGAAAGTGATGAACCTTTTCTTACAATTAATTTTTCACTTCGTTGATTCTGCCGCTTTTCGATAAAACACCCTGTATCACCTACAGTTGTTGACAAAAATTTTCCGGAAATAGAGTAAATAGTAGAACCAAAAGTGTTTTGGAACAGATCTGTATTTCCCGAATTGCCGTAAGCCAATAAAAGCACCCATTGTGCGACTGCAAAAGCCATTAGTCAACATCACTAAGCCGATGCTGATCAGTAAGAACTATCCGCCACATAAAACGAAAAGTTGACATAAGTTATAAATCACCACCTTTGAAGCCGACAACCCTCGCACCGTGTCAAATTCCCAAGAAGGCTGTAGTGCCTTTCCCACAGATAACAACCTGTTCGGCTGTTGTTAATTGTTTTCATCACTACTACAAACGAGGTACTTGAAGGGCTTGTAATGTATCTAAGCGCAGTTGCAGAACAATAAAACCTTAATAAATGAATAATGAAAAACAACTATTTGTACAAGACTCAATATCATATAAAGGGGATAGCAAATACAAACAGTAAACTTGTACCTTCAAAAATGAAATGCGGATTTTTTTTTTTTTTTATTAATTTTAATTTTAATTCCTCCATAATCTGGACCATTGAATCGAACATGATTAGGTAAATCAACTTGAAGTGAAATCGATATAAAAATCATCAAGGTAAAAGTGGGCCTAACATGAATTAAAAACCAAAACGGCTAAATGTCAAGTACAAAAGACTGCCTGAAACTTGTACCTAGGACTTGCCTAAAGTACTGTAAAAATTCACAATATTTTAGTAATCAACTAATACCGAAACAAACAAATTGGCAGATATTTTTCCAACAAATTGTTTTCTTTTTATACAGAAAAAGGATAAATCTGGAAGGCATCAACATGCACTTCTAGACTTATCAAATAAACAAGCGATGGAAAATAAATCGCCGGGGTAAAAGTTGAAACTAAAATGAAAAGACCCGCATGGGTACAAACTTGGCAAGTACAAAAGACTGCCTGAAACTTGTACTTAGGACTTGCCTAAAGTACTGTAGAATTTCACAATATTTTAGTAATCAACTTATACCGAAACAAACGAATTGGCAGACAATTTCCAACGATTTTCCTTCACAGAAAAAGGATAAGTCGATCTGGAATGCATTGAAATACATTCATAGACATCAAATAAAAACCGATGGAAAAAATCGCCATATGCATGGTAAAAGCTGAAACTAAAATGAAAAAACCCGAACGGGTTTAAACTTGGCAAGTACAAAAGACTGCCTGAAACTTGTACTTAGGACTTGCCTAAAGTACTGTAAAAATTCACAATATTTTAGTAATCAACTAATACCGAAACAAACTAATTGGCGGATATTCTTCCAACGAATTTACTTCACAGAAAATGGATAAATCTGGAATGCTTTAAAATACATTCCTAGATATAAAATAGAAAAACGATGGAAAAAATCGCCATCTGCATGGTAAAAGCCGAAACTAAAATGAAAAAAACCCAAATGGGTTGAAACATGGCAAGTACCAAAAAAAAAAAAACTGCCTGCAACTTGTACTTAGTATCTGCCTAAAGTACTGTAAAAATTAAACCAACAACGAAACAATCAAATTTGCTGATACTTTTTCCAACCGAATTTTCTTCACAGAAAAAGGATAAATCCGTTTTACATTATTAGACATCCTAAATGCCTATCGTACTGTTAAAATAACAAAATGTTGTATAATTTCAAAGAATATCTATCTGAAAAATTGACGAACAATAAAAGTAACAAAATGGTGACAAACTTTTATGACTTAGATGTATATCTATTTTCTCGCTGAAATTAAAGCTCCCCTTATACTCCTATATAAATGAACATTCCCCTGACTGTTCAGATGAACTCCGTCGTGAACAAATTTACGACTGCAGTCTCCTTCACGGGGAGAAACGAAATAATTCCCATGTTCCCAAAATACGCAGTAACCCAGTGCTGGCAATGCATCTCTCAATATTGCGTTTACTTTGTCTGCAATATTATTGTACCCAAAACGAACACCAAATCGTGGCAAAAATTTACAAACAATTATTTTTGCAACTTTATAGCGGCGATGCATTACCGATACCACAGATTCAATTTCTGCAGCTAACAAGGTAGCGTCGGTACTAGGACTAATATCGTTCTCCCCAATCATTAGAACAACTACATCTGGACCTAAAGCAAATACGCTCTCCATATCCTTAGATATTACATCACGAACCTTTCTTCCACCCACACCCCTGTACAGAACGGAATGCGTTTCTCCCAGACCAAGGCTCGCAGAATACCTAATGTCACCATATTTCAAGAATTCATGAAAACGACGCACAATTGAGTGTCCAAGAATGACAACTGAAGTTTTACTCATAGAAGACATAATGAAATAAATTTACTCACCAAAATCTTGATAAAATAAATAACAAACTTTGAAACAACGTCCGTCCTCCAAGGATGTAGATGGGAGAAAAGGCAGAGTAACGCACCGCATGGTCAGAATTTCATTTGTTAGATTTTAATTGGTCAGATTTTGATTGGTCAATCTCTGCCTCTCCTACCACGGTAAGACATGGAACAAAATTAACATTACAAAGCACAGCTATACAGTATTTCAGACTTTCACATTCAAGGAGGACACTTATTGATTATAATAAAAAATTTTAAGTAAACTTAAATATGCCTAATAAAGAAAATTTTTTCCTCCATTTTGACTGTATGGATTAAGAACTGTTCATATAATTGAATCAATGTAATGTCATTCTAAATGTCATAGTACCCATCATTCATAATATGTACAAGTTTCAATCCTAATAGATGAATCCACATTTTGTTTTTATTTCACATCACTTGGCAGCCATATTTGAGGGAAACTCAAAATTCTCTGTCCATGTTAATTTCTTGTGTATACCTTCATCATTTGACATAACTCATTTGCTTTGATTGCCTAAATCAGAGCTATTCATACATAAGAAGAGGACAAAAAATGAATACAGTGAATTTATTGCAATAATACCTGCATGTTTGATACATAAAGAGAAATATTTTTTTCATTACTTTTTGACCTTTGGATTGACCCTGAATAGAGATAAGGTTTACATTTTGTCAAGTGTAAACTATATACTGCATGACTAAACATGGTTTGTATATTTAAATATGAAATAGTTTCTTTAATGCTTAAATCAAAATATTCCAACTGTCCTAGTGAGAATTATGCTCAATCAACTTTGTGAAATATTCCCAACTTCCAATGCTT